AAAAATAAATTTCAACTGGATCAAACACCTCAATGTGAAACCTGAAACTATTGAAACTGTTAGAAGAAAACATTTGCAGTACCCAACAAGATACAGGTGCAGGAAAGGACTTTCTAAATTGGACTTCCTTAGCTCAGGAATTAAGTTCAGCAATTGACAAAAGGGACCCCATTGAACTAATAGAGTTCTGTACAGCAAAGGAAGGATCCAGTCAAGTGAAGACATCTACAGATAGAGAATCTTTGCCAGAAATACATCTGATAGAGGATTAGTTTCCAGAGTATATAAAGAACTCATAAGCCTTTCCTATTGCTTTTTGTTAAGGTATTTTATCACAGCAACAGAGATGAAACTATAACACTATGCATATGTGATATCCCATTGTGACAACAGTCCACATTTATTTAGCTAGGTTCCCATTGATAAATGTGTCTTATGTCCAGCTTCATCAAGTGACCACCCCTTACCAGAGAGACATCTACATAATAAATGAAACCTATAACAAACCTGGTTTGAAGTGTCAAAATCAAATACATAACATCATGACAGATGCTTAAAGATTGGTCACGATAGAAAAAAAAAAAAACTTCTTTAAGATAGTGCTACTTTGTTGTATAGTATTTAAACTGTCTATGGAATTTTGTACCATCACTTAGTGTTGTGCTAAAATATAGGTATAAATCACCTTTGTGCAAGATGAATTAGTTTTTTCTCATTTTAAAAAAATTTTAATGTATCGTCAAAATAGAAGTTTATTAGATAGATTAGGGAAAATCTGTAGGATATAAACATGACAAGAATTTGAAAAGATAAACCATCTGTTATTTTAGGTCCAGTAACCTGGCCCCTGGTCAGACTGTTGTAGGTTGTATTTTCACACAGGGTAGAATACCACACATGAAATTAGAAGTCCTACAAGCTAAGGCTGTCAGTCACCTCAGAAATAGTGCTACTTCATTCCTGATTCCATGCATTTGAAACATCCACTCTGTCGCATTAAAGCTATTTCTACTACTGCATGCAGGAATCTCATTAGACTTTAAGTGTAAATTGTATTAAGTATATTCACACTGCCATGCAAACAATCCTCAAAATTCTCTGTCTTTGAATTTCATTCCCCTACATGTCTTGTATAACTGGCATCATCAGTATTTGTTAAGAGTTTTTTGTGGGTTTTATTTTGGGTTTTATGTGTGTGTGTTTTAATATTTTGACTGCATGTAAGTGGTGTACCACAAATGTACAATGCCAATGGAAGTGAGAAGTGGGTGTGTGATCCTCTAGAACTGGATTTACAGGGGATTGTTAGCCACTTTGTGGTGCTGGAAACTGAACCTTTGTCTTCTGCAAGAACAGCCAGTGCCCTTAATCACTGAGCCATCATCCCCTTTGTGAGTTTTTGATTGGCTTATTTGACTTAACACTGTGGCTTCCACATTCATCCATGTTCCATCACGGGTCAGATTCCTGATTCTTCTTAAGGTGAATAACATCTCACCATTACCACATCTTGTCTATCCATTAATCTGTGAAAGGATAATTATAAATGTTTTCTGCTTCCACAGTTTGATTGCTATAAATCAAGCTGCTATGAACTTGAGTGTACAATCTCTGTTAGCTCTCTGGGTTGGATCTATTACAGAAACAAGTGTAACAGCAATGTAGTATAATGAAGCTCTTAAACATATCAAAGTATATTTTGTAATGCCTAATATGTATGTTTACAAAGCACTAGTTACTCATAATAATATAAACTTTGAAGCTAGAAGAATGTTTGTCTTGTTCAGAATTTCTCAGATGGTGGTGTAGAAATTAAAGTGCTGTTGGGCCAGGAGGTATTTTAATTTGGTTCTCTGTTGCTATGATAAAACACTGAGCAATGGAGCTGGAGAGCTGGCTCAGTGGTTAAGAGCATTGGTTGCTCTTTCAGAAGACCCAGGTTCAAATCCCAGCACCCACATGGTGGCTAACAACTATCTGTAACTCCAGTTCCAGGGAATCCAACGCCCTCTTCTGAATTCCACAGACATTATACAACATGGGTACACTTACACACATATAGATGAAAATAATATAATACTTTTAAAAACTGCTGAGCAAAATCAACTTGGGAAGGCTAGGTTTATTTGGCTTATACTTCAACATCATAGTTTATCATTGAGGGAAGGCAGGGCAAGAGCTCAGAGCAGGAACCTGGAGGCAGGAGCTGAAACAAAGACCATGGAGGAACAGTTCTTACCAGCTTACTTCCTCTGGCCTGATCAACTACTTTTCTTATACAGCCCAAGTGCCCAGGGATGGCAGTGTCCACAGTAGGCTATGCCCTTCTACCATGGACTAATAATTAAGAAAATGCTTCTCAGACATGTAAACCAATCTGATAGAAGAGATTCCTCAACTGAGGTCTCTTCTTCCCAAGTGACTAGTTTGTATCATGTTGACAAAAAATAACCAACCGAGGAGATCCACATTTAAAAATTTTTTTAAATTAAAAATGAACCATTAGCTTTGTTTATTTTATAATGCACACACCACACAAATACACACACATACAAAATGTAACTAGCATAACAAACTCATTATTATGTGAGTAACATGGTTTGGGATGGGACTAAATAAGACGTTTATGGCTTTTAGTTAGATTTTTTTAAATAGCAAAAATGGGAGGTGGAGAGGTGATTTAGCCATTAAGAGCCCTTGACGCTCTTCCAGAGGACTTGAGCTTGGTTCCCAGAACCTATATGAGTGACTTACAACTGTTTATAACTCCAGCTCTTGGGGATCTGAAACCTGGCCTCCACAGGCACTCAAACACACATGGCATACAGAGAGAGAGGGAAAGAGACAGAGACAAAAACAGAGAGAGATAGAGGTATACACATAGATAAAAATACTCGGGAGGCAGAGGCAGGCAGATCTCTGTGAGTTCAAGGCCAGCCTGGTCTATATAGTGAGTTCCAGGACAGCTGGGGCTACAGGGAGACCCTGTCTCAAAAAGACCAAAAAATACATAAATAAATAAACAATAAATAAACAAACAAACAAATAAACGTTTAAAAGAATTATCAAAATCAAAGGACTGGAGAAATGGCTCAGTGTTTAAGAACACTGGCTGCTCTTACAGAAGACCCAGGTTCAGTTCCCAGTACCCACATGGTGGCTAATAACCATCTGTATCTTCAGTTCCACGGGATCTGATGCCTTCTTCTGGCCTCTTCAGCCACTACACACATGGTGCAGTTACATACATGCAAGCAAAATGCTCATATACATAAAAAATAAATAAAATAAGAAATACCAAAACTAACAAAGTCACACTTGAGTATCTGATGCTTAGGAAACACTAAAAATAAATCAGGAAAAGCAGTCAGACCCAAAACAAACCTTTCATATTCCTTCCCTTTCTACTGTTTTTTGTTTGTTTTTGTCATCTCAGAAACTGTTCCTTTCAGCCTGAACCCATCTAACTCATGTATTTTGGGATTCTATACAGAATTCACACAATTTACAGTTAGTTTTCTCTAGAACTGCTGTTGGGGTAGGTAATTCAATCCGAATCACTCAAACTTTCTGTAACCTTTACACACACAGATTTTGATAGAACAATCCACGCTGAAGTGTATTATCTGAGTTGCACCAAATCAAACCTGTCTTTTTATACTGCTGTCAGCCACACAAATCATAGACTTTGGAAACATGGTCTAAATGTTTTCATGACATTGAATAGAGTGACCAGAACAAATTCATTTGTGTTTCAAACTTTAGCAGCTGCCATTGTACTTGCTGCTGCTGTCACTGCCTTGCAAGTCCATCTTAGCTGACTTAAACTCACTGTTAGTCTCCAATCAGAAATTTTAAAGCAATATAGAATCCTGCATGTGAAGACCAGATAAACTAAAGAATTGGCATGGAATATAATCTCATTTGAGGTTATTAGTCACATAAATGTATCTGAGAGATTTTGTCATCTGTAAGTCCAGCTGTGTTTCCCTCATGGCATGAGTCAATGGTGTTTAGAGATTTCTCTGGAGAGTCAGTCTTTCATATCATTTTCCCATTACAAATTCAGTTAACTGAATCACAGTCTATGTTTCAACTACAAAGACAAAATGTTTCAGGACTGTTTTAGGCAATTGTGATGCTGGTGACAGATGAGTAATATGTTTGTTGTTTTGTGATTGACAAACTGAATCTTCACTGTCCCATCTATGTTCCCATGGACAAATGGAACCAGCTACTTCCACTCCAGTTCCCCACCCACATTCACTAGGAGCTTACTATTTGGTGTTCATGGGAGGGAGCTAACTATAAATCGAAGTCTATACATCTCTGAGAATTTCATTAATACTCTAATGCACTTCTCATTAACTTTTTTAGTGTTTTACATATTATTTTTCTCAAAAATTGATTTAAACTTGGAAAATGAAGGCTTTAAAATATGAACTCTCTGCCACAATTTTTCATGTGTGTAGCTATTCCTTCATGAGAATGAATCTAAGTAATCCTGATTTTTATTGCTTCTCATTTGGCCTGTCTCATCATATGAGGAGACTGGCTTAAAAATCATCCACACTTCATTTCTTGGGACTTTAATCTGCTCACTCTGCAATTTCTCTCAGCCTCTGTATGTATCAGAACCATCCCACCTCCTGCCTTTCCTGACTTATCAGCTAGTTACTCTCCCATGGTAAATAAAGGAATTTCCTTCTCTCTGCTTCTGGCCTGTTTGCCATTGACATTAAAGTACAATAGTTGTGAAAAGTCACAAAGAATGTGATGAATATGATGAAATGAATTTTCTTATAATTTAACTGCAATAGGCCTTTTAAAGGGAAATTTAGCTAGTCTGTTATTTTTTTTCTCATTCCATCTCTATACCATGTGTTACCAAGGGCAGAGCTCTACCTCCAAGAGCCTCCCAGAATGGTCATTTGTCTGCTCCATGTGAAATAGGACTCTGTGTTCAAATCAGCTTTTCATTTCTCATTTTGCAATTTAAGCTCCCAGTCAGCCACCAGGAAATGTTGTTTGGAACACGACAGACACTAAAGTCTTACTTAATTGGGAGCAAGTAAAAGCCATGGAGAATGAATCAGAAGTAACTGGCTATAAGGTAAGTCTTGATTGGACTGCTTTACTTTTCCCACATTGAATAACATGTTCCAAGGGAAGCTAGGTGGAAATTAAATGCTTAAAATGTTGATAGAGTGGTTTCTGTAATCTAATTTGGGTGTAAGTGCCTTAATTTCTTTTCAGTTGCTGTGATGAAGTATTCTGACATGCAAGTCAGGGGAGTGAGTTTTCACTGTACCCCACTATTCCAGGTTACAATCCATCGTTGTGGGGAAGTCAAGGCAACACGAACCTGAAGCAGTTGGTGATATCCACAGCCAAGAACATAGAGAGAAGGCACACATGCTTGCTTACTGCTCAGCTCACTTTCTCCCCTCTTAGACCGTTTAGGACCCAACCTCAGGGAACAGTGGCCTGAGTCTTCCCCATCAATTAACATAATCAAGACAGTTCCCCACAGACATGTCCAAAGCCTAACCTTACCTACACATTACCTCATTTAGAATCTTTTCCCAGGTCAAGTTCCCCAATTAAAACTAACCATCACAAAAAGCATCAGGCTTTTGATAACAAGAGCACCTCCCCACAAATATCTCATTTGTTAAATACAGTTATATGAGACAATTCTGTTTATGTGGGATTTCAAATACAATAGTGATAAAATGCATGTATTCTACTTTTGATGATCACTAAACACTATTTTAAAAACAACTAAGTATTTGCCATGATTCCTTGGCCTCTCCCTGAAGGTCCATAAAACAGGTCCCTGCCTACTCTCTCCATCCTCACTGTCAGCATTTTGGGAGAGGGGTAGAGGCAGGAGGGACAGCTCCCCACTGTCACCCTCACACCTCAACTCAGCTAAGCAAGATTCATGGCTTCATCACAGTGAAGAATTTCAGGAAGAGTCAATATGTAAAGCAGAATTGGGGTTTAAGAGAGATGCTTTTAAATGGGCTTAAGCAGGAGGGTGAAGAGAAAGAGAGGTACTCAGAAGGACAGACAAGACACACTCCAGAACGTGGATATGGGCTTCTCAAATAAGAGTCACAAAAAAGAAGACATCTCAAGTGTGGGTCCTGGCTCCTCAAGGGAGACTGACAGCTCATTGTTTTTAACAATAATTGAATATAGCATAGTACTGAGCCTCGATACTATCTTAAAAGAGTTGTAAGAGCCTTAAATGAGATCATCAGATGATTCCTGAGAAGTAACTGACAGATTACTGTTGGAAAGGTAAAAGCCTAGTTCACAGGGATTTTGGAAAGTAGGATTTCTTTACTGTAATCAAAGGTTAATCATTTTACTTGAGATATCAGGAGATGACTGATCAAAGGAAAGAGATCCTGTCCAAGGTCATATATATGCAGGCTGTATACTTAATTCATTGTTACCTTAACAGAAAATATCTATATAGTTAAAGAATGTTGACTGTATGTGGATAGCTTTTACAACAGATGTTAATTGTACAAAATCCTTGTTTCTTGGCTGGAGCGAGGCTTCAGTCTATCTCCGAATAAGGGTTCCACTCCTTTCTCATGTCCCCATAATCTGTCAACCTCTCCATCTTGCCTCTCTCACCAGTGCCCGATCTAACAGAGCTCGTCCATGAAGGAATTCACTCTTCCCCAACCTTGATTTTGAAGCCCTTGTGATTCTTTGTTTGTTCATATTTAAGACCTACAGTCTCAGCTGGGAATGCACTTCATATTCTCAGGATATAGAATCACAGACAAAACAATGTGATTTCAACATAACAAGTTTAGTGAAGGAAATGAATAAAAGCAGGCAATATAACAAGTGTGTCTGTTTATGCATTTTAGGTTTTCTATAGGACTAGCAGTCAAAATAATGTACAAGTGCTAAACACAAATAAAACTTCAGCTGAACTCTTGCTGCCCATCAAAGAGGACTACATTATTGAAGTCAAAGCCACAACTGATGGAGGGGATGGCACCAGTAGTGAGCAGATCAGGATTCCAAGAATTACTAGTACGTTGATTGAATGCATTTCCCCCTTCACTTATATCACTGTTATTGGCTTCCATAATGAGTCAGGCAATGGACCCCTGGCTATCCATTTTTCCCAGCATGCCTTTGGAATGCATGGAAGACATACTATGAAGATAATGGGAAACCCTCTAAAGTGGTGCAAAAAAGGAAAGGAGAAAAGGACAAGAAAAGACATTAAGGGTTATTTAGCAGATTTTTATTGTTTGAAATTGTTTCTTTATTCGGAGTTATACCTACAATTGCCTTTGTATTATCTGCACAAGAATAATTCCCTAAGTACTCTTCAAGGGTAGTATTGAACTAAGTTTCCCTAGTTTTACTATTGTTAGGCACAGTAGAGGCAGCCTATAAAACAGGGCACAAGAGTCTAGGCCAGGAAGATCCTGAGTTCTAGAGCAGCCTAGGCTACATAGTGAGTTCAAGTGAGTTCAAGACCAGCCTGAGCTACATAGTGAGATCCTGTCTTAAAAAATGATAGTAATATTCCAATTGTTTGCTTCCCACAAATTATAGATAAAACATCAGGTTTTTTTCCAATGGATGAATTAACATTGTTAAAGGCAGAATCTATTTATGTATGCTGACAAAGAAATGCCTGTTTTTTTAAATCTGCTTCTAATTTCATGGGAGGTTCTCATTAACTTTTCCTTTTGAAAGCAAATGAAACTATTTTACTATAGAAATTTCAGTTTCAGAGTTAAAAGAAACAGACCCTGGAATACATATTTTCTCAGCAAAAAGGCAAAAGAAATTTTATCTTTACTTTTAAATTCTGTCCAGACTTCTCAAGCCTTAATTAAAGTACTGTAGAGCCTATCTTGTCTTAATCTCCTTTGTGGCTCTTAATGACACAAATAACATTGATCCCTCTTTCCATTTATTAACCTTGACCTAGACTATAGTACTGGACAATCAAGACTTGGCAACCATTGCCTTTAATATTAGAAAACATATTGATTGACATTAGCAACTGGGCGACAGGGAGAAATTTTATTTTCCATAAAATCATTGACTACAATATCTAGACTAAAATACACAATTCCAACTTTCCAAAGAAAATGGCAGCTACTTATCATAGCCCTGAGTTGTGCAAGACAGTCTTTAAAAACCATTTCAGACTGGAGACTCTGCTAAAAGTGTGTTCAATTCAATAGACCAAAACTGGGGCTAATTAACACTCATTATCATGATTACATTAGGTTTTTTTTTAAGATTTTTTAAATTAGGTGTGTGCATGTGTGTATCCTGAAGAGGCCAGAAGAAGTCATCTGATATCCTGGACATGGGTGTTGGGAACCAAACTTGGGTTCTCTGCAAGAGTATATGTACTCTTAGCCACTAAGCACTCTCTTGTGCCCTGATTATTTTAGCTTTTAAAATGAGCACATGCTTCTTTTTACCTGCATAGTGCAAGGTCAGGAGTTAACCTGACAGTACTCACAAAGGGACACTGGCACAGGACTAAGTACTATGGTTCTTAGTGGCAGAAGGGATTACAGTTTGCGGGCTGCTGAATCTGAAGCAGTTGTTCCATCTGACACCTGCCTTCTGGCTGATCTTGCATAGACTAGTGACTACACAGAGATGTCTCCAAAAATTGACTTTTACTTGACTCCTTTTATAAAAATGATGTTTCATAGTATGTATACTAATGAATCTGCATAAACTAGAAACAGGCACGTTTTCCAAACCTTTATCCAAAAAAGCTTTCTTTAATTAATCAAGTTATCTCACCAATTGTTGGAGATCAAGTCTAATTGTTTTCACAATGATGAAGTTAATTTTCCAATTTCAATTAAAGGTAAATTATACTAAATGAGCAAATATTGGAGTCATTTAGGAACATTTGGACACATAGGAGTTTTGTAAGTCCCTGTAGCATCTAATGTGTGCTGTACATGAATATTAATAATTAACTTGGGCTCCTACATTAGGCTTCTGTTGTGATTTGATTGTGATAGGAGAAGCATCACTTTTGCTTTGCATCTAAGTCCATTCAGACTACCACTACAGAAGCATCATAAACATGGTATGTTATTACTATAGATTACTCATGTTTTTGGAGGCTGGGAAATTCAAAATCAATGTGCCTGCAGATTCACAAACATTTCTCAAGGGTGCCATCTCTGACTGTTACAGAGGGAACTGAGGTTCCTTTTTTGGGTTCTGAATCTCATTAATAAAAGAATTTAGAAACGGACTTGACAAGAAACTCCAGGACAGTTTTATTAGAGTTTAACAGGGAAAATTTCATGGCAGGGAAGCTTATAAATCTTGGTAGCTATCCAGAGGTGGGAGATAGAGAAGAGGAAGAGAGAAAGTCAACCATGCTTTTGCAATGAAGGTCGGATACATGATGAAGTGGGGAGAGCGGGGGAGCATCAAATAATGAGTGAAAATTCCCAAAGTTACTGGGATTGCATGCTCAGCCTGTTGGCTGAAATTAAATAAATAAATAAATAAATAATAAATAAATAAATAAATAAATAAATAAATAGAATAAAAATAGAAAGACTTGTCAGAGTGAGGACCCAGAAAAGCAGACAGGCTACATGATACAGGCTCCATAGTGCTCCTTCATGGAAGGTCAACCAGAGACTGCATCAAGCATGGACTCATGGGAGCCAATAATACACTATCTCATTAAGGTCATTAAGGAGATAACTATTCCTGCCATTTTCTTAGCATGGCTTCACATGACTCAGGTTTGGACCCTGGGTCAGATAATTGAAAGGGCCAGGGCCAGAAGTAGAACTCATTGGTGTTTTTTGAATGTTTTTTATTTATTTTTATTTTTTGTGTATGAGTGTTATAACTGCATGTCTATAAGTACACCCATGTCATGCAATGCCTGAGGAGGACAGAAGAGGGCATTAGTCTCCCTAGAACTAGAATTATGGATGGTTGTTAGGTGCCATGTGGGTGCTGGGATTCAAACCCAGGGGGTCTGCAAGAGCAGTCTGTGCTTTTAACCACTAAGCCATCTCTTCAGCCCCTAGAACTAATTGTTTGACCAGGAGAAAGTAGCTTTGCCTTAATGCTCTTCAGAAAAGCTCAGATACCTTTACCTTTTCATATGGAATTTAAATTCTCAGGTATGGCAAAAATGATGTGTACCTTTCTGGTGTTAGCAGGGAAACAGAAAGTGAAGTTCAAAGACTCAAGGGCCTCCAAGGCTACTATAACATGAGTATTTTCAGAACTGGGGACAAGATTTCAACATACAATTCTGGAGGGACCAGAAACATTCATTCTCTAGCAACCTGATTGCAGATTGCTACAGTTCTTACTAATAAACTGTTTATCATATTTGACAGGTATGGATGCAAGAGGATCCACTTCAGCCATCTCAAATGTCCACCCTATGTCAGGTTATATATCCATCGTTCTGTTCTTTATTGTAAATACCTTGTGATGTTAGAATTTTTTACTATTCACTGGAAAGTTAATTGGTTCTTAAAAACAAAGTGCTTTCTGAAACAGTGATTATGCATGTTTTTTTCAACTATGTGTTTTTAAATTTCTACTCCATTATAGGTAAAATATGAATATAATAAAAACAGTAAATCCTTTTAGAGGAATCTGAAATGCCTTAATATTTGCTTGATAAACCAAAGGAATTTGCATATTACATACTGCAAACTTTTGATATAAATATTCTTAAACAATGAGTTTAAACAATGCCTATGGGTCACAACTCACATAATGTCATGAACAAATACACAGTATAAACATACAGTACACACATGCACAGTACACACACAGTAGACACATAACATACAGTATACACACACAGTATCCACACACACAATACACATGCATACAAATATGCACACAATACATGCACACATTTTTCCCTACATTGAAAAACTCCTTGTTTAATCCAAATGCTTTTTACCCATTGTTATATCATTACTTGTAAGGCTTAATCAGCATCATTTTTGAAATACCAATTTGAATTCCAAGGAGTCAAAAAATGCATTCAGACAGTTATTATGCAGGAAAAGAGAGTGGCCTGTGATTTAAGAATATTGTTAGAAAATATGTTCTGGACTCCAGGACTGACCTTTGGTTCAGCGCACCGCTCCATGGTGTTGAGACCTCACTAGTCACTTTGTCCTCACGTGTGTCTCGATTATTCATCTATAAAAAGCAGTGGTAATAATATTTCATTATTCTTTTTCTACTGCAAGACTTAGTTGATCAAAACAAGGAGGAACACGGGAAATCATGTGTCCTCCCAGATGCATTGTTCCTATGCAGATTCTGATCATGAACTTTCTTAAGCATTTTGTGAACCCGGCACTTTGTTGATGCTTGCGTTCCTCACTCTTGGCAGTGCTCTGTTTCCGTCAAAGATGGAAATTGAACTGAGTGAATAGTGCGGCATCATTTGGTTTTGTTCATATTTAGAAAGAAAAAGATGGAAGCAAAATGAATACATTTTATCCTGCCTCAAAAATGAAAACAAAGATAATAAAGAACTTGGTCCCTTCACACGTAAAAATAAGCTGCCAAGCTTTATCAAAACTTCATAGAAAAAATAAGAAAAACCCACATTTTAGTCCAAACATTAAACAAAATTCACAAAGTTCTCCATTTCTAATTTCTGGTTCCATTAAGAGACCCTCTCTGTGTTTGGACAGCTGAGATGGTTTTTAAATGAAATTCCACTGTCTGTCTCAGTGAGTGAGGCAGGCTCTTTGGTTCCTGAGTTACATTTGTAATGGTACATGGTGATGCTGCTGGCTTTGGTACAGATGATTCAGTCTTTCAATGTGATTTTCAAAGGACTGTTGAAGACATGACTTCATAGCAATAGGTGAAGGATAGGAAAACCAGCAGATTTCAGTTTTAGACATTCAGAAATATTTTTTTATCTCTTGCCTACCAATTTCGTATTTTGCTAGAACTCATTCTTATTTTCAAAGGTAGCAGAATTGGAAAACAACAGTATAGCTATCAAGAAAGAAGAAAAAAATAACAAAATTCTGATATCCCTTTAAAATACCACTTTTTATTTAGAGATTACATCTAAGATAAAGTCACTATGTGAAAAGGAGAGCATTTTTTTTAAGATTCTCTGTATAGACTGTATATATTGTACATATCTAGAAAAATCCAAATGATTAACTGATTTCATACAACCATTGGTATTTCCAGTCAAAAAGGTGGGAACAATTCTCCCATGCTTGTATTTTATGGTACATGTAACAGAGCTGCACCTTTTTATTATCTAATAATTCCTATAATTGGTTCCTATGCTTTTCATTTGCAAGATAGTTATTCTCCTGTTTCATGTTATTTCTACCAATATATCTCCATGAGATGTGGATACTGTTTCATATTGAAAAGTCAAAATTTAATCTTTAAATTCCTGTGTGTGTATCCTATGGTTATCTGTATGTATTATTTTCTGATATTCTAATAAAATTTATAACAATCAAATGCTCCTGCATTGCTCATTGTGGCTTCATCAAAGGAAACCTCTTCATGCAGAAGAGGAGGGACCCATAATAGTCACACTAATGCTGCCACTGTCTACACTTTTCAGCCAACGTTTAACTTTCCCATATTTTAAGAGAATATATTGAAATTATTTTTATGCTATTGTAATTCAGTAAATTCATCATTTTGAAACAATGGCTTCTGTGTTCAAGGTATTTCACCTTTGCACAAGTAAATGACAGACAAAACAGGATATTTACCTTCCAGAATTACAATGTCTAATCCCTCTTGATTTCATTTTGTCATTAGTAGAACTCCCTCATTTTTGACAAATGCTTTTCATAAACTCAATGTCAATTTACAACATTGTACATGGACTTTCTCTTTGATGTCAGAATCAGAAATTTGAGTTGATGTAGTCTTTGTGAATAATATACTCTAAATAGGTGGAAAGCATCCTAATTATTCAGTTTTGAATTAGTAAGCAATTTCAAATACTACTATTGGTCTAAGGAAAATAACAACAAAAAAGATTTTAATCATTTTCTTACTTTAGAAATGGAGGTTTGTAGAGGAAGGATAATTAAGGGAGAAAATTTTGTGGGAGTTTTCTCTCTCTCTCTCGTGTGTGTGTGTGTGTGTGTGTGTGTGTGTGTGTGTGTGTGTGTGTGTATGATTTTAAATTTAAGGCCAGTTGTGATGGTTGCACTATTATCTTCTATTAAAAGATAAATTCAGGGGAATGTGGAGACATTAAACCTTCAAGCAGTCCTAATGTCAAATGCTGGTGGACATTGAAGAATCAGAGATCAACTTGACTAATCCCTCAAACTTAGTAATACCTTCACTAATTACTGGTCATGTGCTCTTGCTCCAGTTCCATCACATCTCTAATCCTCAGATTACTTATCTGAAGAATGGAGGCATTGTAGAATTCCCCTCACACAGTTGTGAGTCCCACTGTGCAGAATGTCCTGTTTCATAAGCTGATGCTATTAGCACTATGCACTTTCAGGGTCGGCAGTTACCAAGTCAAATGGTGTGTGGGAGTCTTAGATTCAAGCTCTTATTCTTTCCATGCATAAGAAATAAATAACCCTGGAAAACAGAAGATGACCTCCTTCTGAAGGTGGTTTTACATTAGTTTTTTTAAAGCTCTCCTTTAATTTCATTTTACTGAGGAAAAAGTTGCAATTCTAAAAGCTCCTAGAAGATAAGGTAAATAATTCTGGAATCTAATTAATTTTCATGGCAATGTAACATTGAGCCAGTTGGGGTGGCACTTGCCTTTAATTCCAGCACTGGGAAAGCAGAGGCAGGCAGATCTGCCCAAATTAGAGGCCAGCCTGGGCTATAGAGTGAGTTTCAGGACAGCCAAGGCTACATAGTAAGATTCTGTCTCAAAAAAAAGGAAAGGAAAGAAAAGAAAAGACAAAAAGAAATATAACATTTATATATTCAGTATCATTCATTTACTCTATGTACTACTCTGAATTAACCCTTTCTTTACCTTTGCTAAATTAGTCTCCTCTAATCTCATTAGTTAGGTTTCACTGAGCCCATTTTACAAATAGTAAGTAGTAAATTGCAAAGGATCATCCTGTAATAGGCACAGTAAAATGAGACTTAGAGCAATTTGGCTTCATCTCCTAAACTCTAAGCATGATGAAGCTCTTTGCCCTTTTAACGTTAAATCCCTCAGGTTTGAAGATTCTGAGTATCTTTGGTTTGATTTCACAGTGTACTTTGTTCCTCCTTGATTGATCACATAATCGTGGAGCCTGAGAATCTTTAATTAATCTTCATTATATTCTTTTTCCTTAAAAGTTTGTAAGGTGGCACAGGTTGATTTTCAATAATTTTTCCATATTCATTGAAAACCAACCAGCGTGACTGGGTGAGCTGAAGAAAGTGCGAAGTGATTAGAATCTTGTAAATTATTCTTTTCCAATTAAAATCCCTCCTGCTGGTTCATAGTCTTACAATGCCAGCTTTTTATTTAAAATTAATCTTAATTGGGTTCATTTTTCTAAAGTATTTTACCCTTTATAAAAATGAAAAAAAATGCATTGATGGTCATTGTAATTTGGATACACTTCAGTAAATATTGGAAGTCAAACCAACCCACAACAGCAGTTATGAAATCAGCAATTAGAAAACTGTACCATTCACTTGAAAGAAAACATGTAAACAGATTGGACTATAGTGCTTTTAATTGTTAGAGTTTTCTGCTTTTATTTAGACCTAGTACCTTAATGTAAGATGCCTTCCTTTACATGGAGGTAATAAGTGTGTCTTGGACTTAAACAGAGAATTCATGCACTGATAGAATTAAAACTTTAAAGAAGGAACTCTTATTTTTCTGCTTTATTCTTATTCTTCACTCCTACTCTGCTCTTTGAAATTATCCTCACACCTGGTGACTCTACCTATATCATCAATACGAGGGGGAGAGAAAGAATTAGATCCCATGCAATTAGATATTCATGGAAATTCAGGAAAAGGCAAAGAGGAATGATAAGTTTAGTAAATGAGCACATTTACCCTGGCATCAGACACTGGACATTGACAGGCACAGAATTAATGTAGAACGTACATCGTGACTGGCTAATGCGGAAGCAAGGTGTCCCTGTCAGTGTGGTCCTTTCACATTGACATTTCCATATTTTCAGAGCAGCCACATAGAATTGCCACAATGAAGTCTGAAGATGAAGGAGCAGTATTTCCATGGGGATGTGAATCTTACCACTGCACTGTACTTTGAGGGGCTCCTCTTGAAATGTGTTTACAAACTCACTGAAATAACCAATAACCAACAAATTCTGACCCCTTCCTCTTGTGGTATCCTATTTTATATCTTTAATTTTTCCTTCTATACTGTCCCTGGAGATGATAAATTATGACCATCTGGAAAATAAGAGGGCCTATAAAATGTATATAAAACAATAAATAGCTGACACATTTTATTGAAAAGTAACAAATCTGTGAAGTATATGGAAGGATCCAGCAACTTAGAGTATTTGTTCACACGCATAGATCTGATTCTAATTCTAACAATACCCCTAAATAACTATGTAGCCCTAAGTATGCAGGTTAATTATGCCAAAGCAAAAACTCTTTCTTTCTAACACAATGCCAACAAAGGGTCCTGCCTGGTAGGTCTGTCATGGAAGTTACCTAATGGAATTACAGACTCCTTTTATCATACTTTGACACATGGGATAATCAAAAACACTGTCTAGAAAGTTAAAAATCATTATTGTTCTATTATTAGGCTTTAGATTCTGGATCATTCTTAAAGAGTCAGTCATTAAGGGGCTACAGAGATTGCTCAGTGGTTAAAAGCACTGGTTGCTCTTGCAGACGACCCTGGTTCGATTCCCAGCACCCCCATGGCAGCTAACAACTCTCCATAACTCCAGTCCCGTGGGATCTGACACCCTCTTCTGATCTCCATGGGTACTACAGGACAAGGGGTACACTTATATAGAAGCAGGCAATTTACTCATACACATAAAAATAAAAAAATAAAATACTTACAAAAAAAGAGTCTGTCATTAGATAGGAGGCAGAAAGAAGCCAGCACAGCGGATTGTGCAGTCACCCAGTTTCAAGTGCATCACTGCCCTTAGGACTAGCAATGATGAGCTCCGTCAGGAGCCTGCCTATGATAAAGCAGGGAAAAGAGCCAGGAGAAATATGAGGGAAAAGAAGGTACTGGTATCACAGAGTACATGCTTCAGGGATTTCAAGGACTAAGGTGATACTTGTAGAACTTTTGTCATGCTGCTGAGCACATGGGAGGGGATCAGCCTCTTCCAGCTAAATACTTAGTCTCTCAAAACAGCACCCATGTAGCCAGTAGCTTATGGAGTTGGAGCCAGGAAGGATTATTCACAAGACTCTATTCAGAGAGGTATGAAGTTGGGGATTGAAAGTTTCACTAATGTTTTAAGAATCCTTGTGTTTAATATAAATAAACCCTCTATGTAAATCAGTTTAATTGAGTTGAAGCAAGAGCCAGCTAACCGGGCAGAGCTGGTCTAGGCTGCAGAATGAAGACTTCTGGATATGAGCCCAAAAAGCCTGAGGCACTGCGGATGTTTGGAGCCTTGGCTCAGAAGAATTCTGTTGAGCAAAAAGGATTTGGCATCCAGAAGCCATGTGGGGAGTGTGAGCTTGAGGCCCATTTGACAATGTAGATTGCGTGCTCTTACCTGAGAACTCACAGTTCCAGATCCACAACTAGTGAATGACAGTGGGTGGCTGCTGGAACCAGAAGCTCCAGGGGAGGTCTCTTTGGCTGTTGCTAATTACATAGAAAACCATCCCCTTTACAAAATTAAACACATTTTTGCTTGCATGCAACCTCTGCCTGGACTCTTTCAATAGAAAAAAAAAGCCTGTCTTTTCTTCAAAGTTGCCTGTTTATAAGAGATGCTAAAAATCTTAGAAAGTGTTTAGACAGAAACATAATTGCCTCATTCCTCACATGGGGAGATTAGTTTCATTTTAATGATATAAATATGAACAAGCAAGAGAATAATGTATATGGGTCAAGATTTCAGCCTTCTGAAGAAAGGAGGGTGCTGTTTAGGAATAAAAATGGAACCAGCAGGAGCATAAAGACTGGAGAAGAGCAGGGAAGTGTGAATATGATCAAGTGTGTGTGTATGTGTGTGTGTGTCTATGAAAATGTCATAATAGACTCGTTATTTTGTAAAATTAGAATGCACTAATGAAAATAGTAAAAACATCAGCATCAAGCCCAACAAGTGAAGAATAGGCCTGTAGCCAAGCTTGGTGGCACACACCTTTATTCCCCGCACTTGGAAGGCAGAGGCAGATGGAGCTCTTTGAGATCAAAGCCAGCCTGTTCTGAAAAAACAGAGCAAAACCAAATAACAACAAAAAAAAATTCACAAATATTTAAAAATATTTATTTTGGTTGGAGATAAAGCTCAGTAGCAGAGCATGCACAAGGCC